TATATTTTTTGTGACGCAGAATGAGAAAGAAATGATCCTAACCGGCATGTTTCGAGAGGTGATGGGCTTCGGCTGCTTCCCATTTCCCGAACTGCTCCCCGCACTTGTGGCAGATCACGGCGGCGGCGGCTGCAGCGGCGGACACATGAGAATCCGACTCTATGGAGGCCCTGGCCACCGCTGAAGAACCCTGATGGGCTCCACCACCATTACCAAAAACAGCATTTGAGAGGAAAGAGCCGCCGTGGACATGACCCTCCCTGTCGGTGAACGGGACAGGAAACTTCCTCGGGGAGGTGCCGACGGAGGTCCTGAAGGAAGGGCTGCGGTGGAGGGCAAGGTTGGAGCCGCCGGGGCCCGGCGTGCCCGGGCGGAGCATGCCGACGAAGGTGGAACCGGCGGCGGCGCCGGCTAAGCCTGTGATCTTGAGCTCGCATGTGGAGTTGCTGAGGATGACCTCGTGGGTGATGGGGTTGAGGAACTCGCTGCTGCCGATGGACCGGGGGCTGCAGCTGGGGGGCTGATCGAGGTGCCTCTTGCTGCCGTGGATGACGTCCTTGAGGTTGGCAATGGATCGGGAGCAACCCGATCTCCCTGACTTCTTGGTGAGGATGGTGCCCAAATGATGGGCTCCCCTCCCCTTGGGATCGTACACATCCGATGGCTCAGATTTGCACTGGAGAGATTTCCTCAGAGACAACCAGACAGTGGGCATCTTCTTATTCTTCTTCTTCCTCTTCTTCTTATGCTTCTTCTTCTTCTTCTTCTTCTTCTTCTTCTTCTTCTTCTTCTTCTTCTTCCTCCCCGCCCTCCTCCACGACACGGAAACTATATGGATTTATGCTCCTTTTATCTGTCACAAAACGTCTTCATTGTCCTCCACCCTCGCTTCTGCCCCATTCATCCAGCTTTCATACCATTTCGAATAGAAGGCAGGCAGCTCTTCCCCCTTATATGGTAGGAAACCAAGCCGACATTAACGAGCTCGAGGACCTGCAAATCAAGAAGATTGTTTTCGTAAGGAACGTAGAACCACACACCGGCCGTCCCACTCGCAGACTGCTTTCAATGCTGCCCGCCGGCGGCGGCCCCCAAAGGGCTTCCCCAGAGATAATCGTCGGCCGTTCGGAGAAGAAGCTCCCCGGAAAAAACCAGTATCACCCGACAGGAAGACGTCAGAAGGAAGCGAGCTACAGAAATGTAGTTAGCATGGAGAACATTTGGGTGACAAGAACTCGGTCGCCATGTCTCCTCAAGCCATTAAAAACCTCCTCACTAGCAGGCCTGGGAGCTATAAATGGCGAGCTGACAGAAGCACTAATCGGCTCCGGCTACAGTGAGAAAAGAGGACCCTTTCCCTCCCTTCCTTCCCGGAAGAGACGGACAGAGCCTGTCACCGGCGGAGGGGGGAGACGACAGTGGAAGAAAGGGAGGCAAACCTAACAGCATTGAAGGCCTCCAGCGGCCAATTGTAGCTCCACCATGGTGGCGTCCGGTCCCTTTGCAGGATCTAGCAGGTCAACTCCGGACTTGACGGGTATCTCGGAAGTTAAACTATGATCAAATATTTTTTAAAACCCTAAAGCATTAGTAATATCGCATGTACCCTATTTTTATGGGTATATGATGATAATAATTCTTCGTGATAATGATGATAATAATAGTAACGCTTACCCATGAGACAGCTTCCTGGTGTGCATTATAACCATAAGTAAAATATGTAATTATAAAATAACCCTACAGTTTGAATATTTTGTATATTCTCATCAGTCGCATTATCAAAGGAAATCTAGCAATGCCCACATACTCTCCAATATTGTTGACGTAAACGCATGTACATGGCATGCCACGTGTAGGATGACGTACAAGCAAGTGGTGTCCCGATACATTGATTTTACTCTCCAAAACATAATCAGATCAGTCCAATCAACATTAAAAAATAGGCCACTAAGCACTATATTTAGTCACTTGATGCATTTAGGGGGTGATCGCGTATTAAATTATTTATGAGGACTAATATTTAATGTCTCCTTGTAATGATAATATGACAAATTTGGGGGACGGTTTTGTATATATGCCTTCTCCAGGGCACTAAATATGGCAGCGGGAAGGGGGGGCTATCTGTAAAAAGAGCATTAAATGTGGACCAGCGGCGACTCCCCAGGCTGTCTGAAACCGAGTGTGGGACGGCGTGGACGACTCGGAGACCAAGGCGTCTGAGCCTGTGTGGGTGGGGTTCAGTTTATTGTCCAACTGTCGTCTTGGCTCTGTGATGACTATATTTGTGCATATGCCCTCATGACCTGACAAGACGTAATTAGAAGTTAGCCCTTAATAAGATTTTTTTTCAAAAAAGGGGTAACTTCATGAGAATTTTATTCCAAGGGGCTTCTGCATAACTTGCAGATGTGAGGGACGTTGAAGCGAGGGGGGAGGGGCGGGAGAATAGAGTAAGGCATAAACCAAACAAATTTTATATTTGGGGACTTAATTTAAACAATACGAGGTGTTTAATCCCTAGGAGGGCAGTGTTGGGTGTCGTCGCTTCCAAAGAAGCATAGTTAATGTGGGCCATTAATCAAGAATCTTATTGAAGTCGGAACCATAAATTACCACATTAAGATATTATTATTTCCATAAATGAGATATATTTTTCCCAAAAAACCGTTCTAGGATCGTTCAAAACCTATAAGAAAAAGAACCACCTTCCCAATAAATCATTTGCGCTTTGATTTTCTTCTATAAGAAAATAATTTTAAATGGTATATTTTCCTGGTTCTGCTTTCAATTGAGCAATAATCATAGACCTTGATAGAAGGTATATTTTTTCTTATTTAAATGAAAATTATATTATTTTCTGATTAAAATACCTAATTTCGTTGTAAAAGAGAATATATAATGAAAATTGCCACCAAAAAGTTATGGAAATTGGACCAATTCCAGTAGAACTTTATGATTAAACATAAATGGTCATCTTACAGTTGTATTTTTAGGCTTTTCGCCAAACCTAATCTAGATGCCAAGGAGAAACAGATCAACTCAAGCTGGGTTCAACAATCACTACTAAAAATGAAGCGAGGAATAGAAATGAAAATGAACCACTTCCAAATGATTCTCTCTCCCCTTGTTCGTCTCTCTCACTCTCACTCTCTCTCTCTCCTTTCCATTTCACTCTCTCTCTCTTTAAGTCTCTCTCAAAGATATGAGACGTCCATTGTAATCTCGTCTGAAAAATCAAAACATCGATGGAAACCCACCCTTTAACTCATTTCCAATGAGTGCATGCTTTATAGGACCCCTTCCTTTAAGAGGTTAAGTATCCATCCTTGATACAAAGAGATCGCATAATAAACAAAAAATTGACGCCTTGGTGGTCATATTGGAGATAGTCAACTATTTCCATTCAACGGGACGCTTTTACAAGTTAGTAATCAAACATTGCCTCTCTGGTAGAATCTCATGAAGCCCACGACGTAAATGATTGGAGAGAGAGAGAGAGAGAGAGCCCATCAATCCTAGCACCGGTCTACCTGTCTATCTACCGATCAGCTTATCTATCCAGCTGTCTATCGATCTAAATCCATATAGAATAGACTTAGAGAGCAAGAGAGAGAAAGAGAGAGGAGAGAGAGAGAGGGGGGGGGTCAAATAATGTTTGAAAGACATCCATGCATGTCTTCATGTTCTTGAAAAATATATATATATCGTCTTTTCACATGTCGTATGCTGTGATTGTGGGTCCGCGTTTAGAGAGAGAAACAGAGAGAAGAAGCCAGAGCTGAAAGGAGAGGTGCAGGGACGATGGACCACTCCGCTTTTTGTCCGGGCGGAAGGTTTCTTGGCGTGGCTTCTCTTCACAGTTCCTCCCACCGCAAGACGCTCAAATGGACTTGTGAGATAAATTTCACCGCCCCCAAGCTCGGAGCATCCAATTCAGGCCCAATAAGCTGAGCATCCCAATCAAGGCCCATTATCTGGAAAGTCCGGCCCATCTAATTCAGGCCACATAACATGAATCCCCCAGCCTTGACCATGTAATTGATCCCCATTAATTCCACACCAAGCATTTTATTCAGGCCCATCGATTGAAGCCCATTCCGAAAAAAAGTTAGGCCCAATTATCTAAGACAGGCCCATTTAAGCCCACCTTGTTACTTATCATAATTACCACTTTAATGTGGCAAGCGTAATACCCCACTTGGTTGACTACGATTTGTTTCCATCTGCGGCACGGTCAGCGCATCTGGGTTTTGCATTACTAAATCCTCGCAGAAGAAAGACGGAGATCTTCCTAGACTTTGACTAAATTCCAGTTTCCACCATCTGGGTTGTAAGTTTAGGTGGATTGGAGCACGAAATCCTTCGATCGAAGAAAGGGGGATGAACAAATGAGGAGAATGGCGGAGAAGACAGTATGGATCAGTAGAAAGCTCCTAGATCCCTGAGGTAGATACATAGCTGAGATGGGGAGAGGATCGAAGGAATCGGAGGGAAGTTGATCTACAGGTGTTCTTCTTATTCTTCTTCCACGGGGTCGATGAATTAGAAGAGGGAAACCAGACCGGGTAGATCTACTCCTCGGCGGCGGCGCCCTTGGAGGCTCCGCCGGTCTTCTTGGGGAGGAGCAGGTTGTGGATGTTTGGCATGACGCCGCCGCTGGCAATGGTGACGGCGCCGAGAAGTCTGGAGAGCTCCTCGTCGTTCCGCACGGCGAGTTGGATGTGGCGGGGCACGATTCTCGTCTTTTTGTTGTCGCGGGCGGCGTTCCCAGCCAGCTCGAGGACCTGGAGATCGATCAGAGGGCGTCGGAATTTCGCAAACAAGGAAATAAATCCACCAATCGACCACCGATATCTTCTTAAGTATTCTCAGAGGATCGATGAATGATGAGAGAAGGAAAGTGAAACAGAAATCGAATCGCACAATGCTCGAAAAACTTTACGAATGCGAGATCATAACGAATCCAAAAGCTTGCAGACGGAGGTTGCTACTCAAAGGATCAACAGAGAGTTAAGGAAAACATAGGCCGACTGCTGAACCCACTCAGGCTCAGCCGCACCACCCCCAGTGTGCGAGCCACTCGAGAAGCAAGCTATTACAACGAGCGGCTACACAAATCGCTCGAAGAATCTAAAAATTCTGGTTCAAAAAGAGGATGGATGTACAACGAGCAAGCTATTACATGGAGATTTCTCAAAGGAGCAACAACTGACCCCTAAAACCCAGAACCCTAGACAGAAACAATCCTGCAAACGAGGAACCCTAATTGATGTCCATTCAAACGAGAGATCCACTGAGAGAGAGAGGGAGAGAGAGAGATGAGCGCGGAATATTTAGAACGCTGAGAGCTCTCACTACCTCCGCCGCGAGATACTCGAGAACGGCCGCGAGATACACGGGAGCGCCGGCGCCGACACGCTCCGCGTACTTTCCGGCCTTCAGAAAGCGAGCGATTCGGCCGACGGGGAACTGGAGCCCCGCCTTGCTGCTCCTAGACGTCGCCTTCTTCGCGGCCCCACTGCCAATCGCCTTCCCTCTCCCCGCCATTGCCACCACCTCACTCAGCAACCGCCTTCTCAGTCAGAGGGAGAGCGAGAGCGAGAGAGAGAGAGAGAGAGAGAGAGAGAGAGAAATAAAAGACAGAGCTAACAGCAGGACAAATGTTGGCAGCGGCTATTTATAGCTAAGATTTCAAGCGGAGTTCACGAGGATTGAGATTTCTAGCCGTCGATCTCACTTTCCATCCAATGGCTACGGTTGGCTTCAAGTGTATACCTTACACGTATGAAACCCCTTCCGAGCTGCGACACTGGGTGAAATATGACACCCGGTCGCCACGTGTATGTCAATCAGGCAGTCCTCGCCACGTGGTTTGTGGAGGCATCTGATTCATCAGCTGCTTTAAAATTATTTACTTTCCAAACTCCCGTGAACCATTCAGCCAAGGAGATTCTTCTGGGACGAGGCCGAATAGTAAAAGCTATTGTTGCATGTAATTCTCCTAAAAGCTATTGTTCATTTCTTCATCAATAAGAGGGCCCACTAGTGGAGGCATTTTCTCTCTCTGCTCTTATTTTCATTATTATTAGTCTATTTTCCTGCCAATTAATAGTTAGATGGTAACAGTGGAAAGGTGGAGCTAGTCCTGATTGATGAAGCACAAAACATCTTTACTACTGCTCATTTCTATTATTTATTTTTTATTTTTATTTATTTTATTTTGTCATCTAGATTTAGATTCATTTAGAGAATAAAATAAATTACCATAATTTTAATCTTGATTTTTGTTAACCTAAATTCAATTTTTAAAATTTTAAATGTGACATCTCTTAAGACAAGAGCTAAGAGACAATCAGCAAGTTATGATTTACACCAATTAGGTGTCGATTAATTGATGATTTGAATTGTTGAAATGGTTGTTTGATTCAATGTTTTTGCTTTCAGATTGTAATTTGATGTCTTACGATCCTTAAGAATCAATAACAGATTCTCAACCATTCGTAAACATGAAATTCGATCAAAAAAGAATAGCAAGGTCAATTGGCAGAGTCTTTCTACTAGCAGAAATATAGTTGGGACAATTTTATTGAAAAGTTTGAAAAACAGAAGGAAATTTTACGAAAATGGTGTCTAAAAATTCATAAAATGAGGAGTGATTTACAAAATACTCTAGAGGAATCATCTAGAAGTTAAAGACCAAATAGTGGAATGAAAATGTGTACAAAACTGAAGCCAAAAATATAAATTTTATACTTCAATTGATTCAATCCAATCTTATGATTCTTATTCACATGAACACATAAATCATACAGAAAATAAAGTGAAGCAGAAGGTGTTGATCTTACAGAATAACTAGCATTCTCTCTTCTCACTTTGTCACTTGAGATATCTTGAGAGCGTAACAATAAATTGATTGAATAAAAATATACACATGAAAAGGCAGTAAATGAGGCTTCTTTCAATCCTTGACTATTGCCCTAAGACCTTTGGAATCGCAAGTCAACGTTTTAGCTAAAGCCTGAAAAAAACTGAAAGAGAACTCAAGACCGCACATAATGAAATTTTCAAGGAGTAAAGTGAAGACTAAGGACAAGTAACCTCGTCGCCCTTCATGCCATAATTTATAGCATATTTGAGGATATATATATATATATATATAGGTCCCAACCAATACAAAAATTAGTCCCAAAATTTGATGAAAAGATAGAATTCAGTGGGTTTTGGTGCTAATAGAACCCTTAATCATATCTTAACCACTGTAGCTTACACCTTTATTGAGTTTCTATAAGCGTCATGAGATATCTTGGTGCCTTTTCCAACCATTGGTAAGTCGGTTTAGTCAATTATTTGGCCATCTTTGATAATTCGTCGGCATTGCTTTCGCCGATTTTAATTTCTCTTCTTTGTTTGGGTCTTCTATTGACTTTTGATAATAGTTCATGTAGAGGATCTTCCACAGCTCTAATTGATGATTTGGCACTTCCAAGGCCTAACTGACATAGTTATGATAATTCTCAAGGCCTTAGACCTTTGATTGATGTGTTAGATCAAGAGGAAGAATCACAATGTAAAGGATATAGTCAAAATTTCTAAAAAATTTGATTGTCGGCATGCATTATCGATAGTTAGAAAAGAAAGTGATTATTGAGGTGCACATACATGAAAGTAGCTGGGAACGTCATGATGACCTAACATTAGGTATTTTTTTGGATTTTAAAAAAATTATATCTTGAGGTAATATTTATTAACTTCTACTTTTCTTAACTATTTAAATAATAAAGTTGTGATGAGGATATATGGACTAGGTTGAGTGTTTTATTGTAATAATCAAATGATGAAGTTTCATGTTAGAAGTGTTCAATGCATCTGGGCTTGTGAAATCATGTTATCTATTAATTTGGAGACATCCAAAGGGGAATTCAATCATAAAATTGATGGATAGTTTGCTTCCAAATCTTTCTTGGACCACACTATTTAATTTTGATTGAGGAGAATTGACTGAAGAACTGCTACTCTCTAATGTCATATACTTTTATTCTTTAAGAGTAAAATGTATTCACCACGATAATCTATTTTCATGATCCTTGAATCTATTTTCAGGATCAAGTGAAGTCTCTTGAGTCCATTTTATTTAAGACCCAAAGAGAGAAAATTCCATTCTATTGATGCTTTTTCTTAATATGCTATAAATATATGGTATTATTTATCGTTTTTTACATTTTATCAAATTTGATATCTCTCTCTCTCTCTCTCTCTCTCTCTAATCTGAGTATAGTTTGATATGGGGTGCAGAGGGTCCCGAGAAGTTCGATAATTCCTTACTCTTATTTATTAATTATTTTTTATTTTCGGTGCACCAGAGTTCGGATGTGATGTTGTAAATGCGTAATTTTCATTCGTAAATATGAATAAAGCAGATTTTAAACTGATTGTTTGCAGTTTGGCACATTTAGAAAAAATAACTTTTTTCAGGGGCATGACGGTGAGATGACGCAGACTGCCAGTGACGCCGGCGCGGACGGTTTGTGACCTCTGGCGCCGGCGCATGGCCAACGTGCACCCAGACGGACATCCCTCTCGTCGGCTGCGCCATTAATATAGACGCCGTCAAAACAAACGCCGCTTCCACTCCCTTCTCTTCTGTGATGGGCTCCCCGTTTCAAGGTTGTGTGAGCTTTTCTCTACTGTTTTGACAGAGAGAGAGAGAAAGGGAGAGAGAGAGGGATAGAGTGAGAGAGAGGAAGGGAGAGAGAGAGAGAGAGAGGGAGCGAGGTAAAGCAGGAGAGAGGGAGAGAGAGAGAGGAAGGGGGAGAGAGAGAGAGAGAGGGAGCGAGGTAAAGCAGGAGAGAGAGAGAGAAACCGTTTGTTTATGCTTCCTCTCTCTTAGTCTCCCCTCACCAGTCCTGTCTGTCTCTCTCTCTCTCTCTACCTCTTGTTCTTTCTGCGGCGATGGCCATTAGGTTATGTCATGATGGAAAGGAAGAACAATATGGGAGCTCTCCTGCCTGCAGGGAACCGATTTCTGCACTTCCTTTTAATTTACTTATTTCGGTTGTCGATACTGCGCCTGCAAATTTTCTCTAAAGTAACCTCCGTAGTCCCCCATCTTTGGTGCTTCGTACCTACGCACTCCCTGATAATCTGGAGGGGAAACGTTGGATTTATTTATTTATTGAGTTCTTTGTTCATTTTTATCATACCATCATGCTTGGATCGCCCTGGTAATACTCGAAAAACAGAACAAAAATAATAGCATTAGTGCACTAGAGCAGTGGGAACACGGACCTTGGGATTTGATGTTGAGCTGCCGTACTTTCTTGACGAATGTCCGCATAAATCTGCAAAGGGGAAAACTGCAAGTCCCCTCTTCCGGGCGAGGGCGGCATATGCTGTCCTCCGGGTGGCGCCGCTGCTCCTCCGCCACCGCCACCATCCTGCGGGGGAAGCAGAAGAGAGAAAGAGAGAGGAGGCGGGTTTGGCGGTACCCACGGCGGCGGCGGCCACCGGCGGAGCTCGCACGTGGAGCTGCCATGTTGCCCCTCGCTGAAGCTCGCTTTCCGTACTGGTCCGGTGGCGAGGGGTGCGCCGGTGCAAGCGGCAGAAGAGCTGCAGTGGCGGGAGCACGTAACTTTCAGAAATACCTCCAATCTGAGGAAGCGAGGAGAAGGATTACGAGGGACGTAACTTTCACTGAGCGGTGGTCGTACATGTACCTCTCTAGGGCGCCGCAACGGCCACTGGGAGTGACCCCGCGGTGTCAGGGACATCTGCTGACGGGTTCAGAGAATTCCGAACCTTCTCTCCCTCGTTCTTTCCTCTCCTGTCCCAGAAGAATCCTCGCATTAGGCTTCAGACGCTGCTCTTAATCTTGTTTTCTTCCCTCAGAATGCTAAGAAAAAACATCAGCCACCATTTTCTGAAGAGATCCGATCAACAGTAGCAACGGGGTGGACGAAGATGAGGTGACTCGGGAGGAGTATCCTGTCGTTACAAAAAGAGGCATAAGGTCAGGTGTTCAGGCCTCCATGGTCTGCATAATTTTGGCAGTGGGTTAAGACAGCAGTGGCCCTCGAGGGCAGACGGGGATATCCCCACCAGGTTGATGCCCGGTTACAGCGAAGGAAAGAAGAGAGTGAACAGCATACGAAAGCTGAGGGCCGTAGTACCCATGAACACGCAGGAGAGAAGAGTGTGCATGTCGAGCAAGGACGGGAAGGGAAACCGAGTAGATGAGAGAGCACGAGGGACTGTCATCGCGTCTAGTCGCTAATCGTGGAGGTGGAACCGCTGTCCAGAATCATCTGTTGCTCAAGCTGGTGGTGTTGGTGGTGGAGGATCTTCTTCCTCTCAGCGGCCTGCCGCATCAGGATCACCTGCTCCACGGAGAACACGCAGAGGCCGCGGCCGCAGAGCTTATCTTGAACCAGTGGGGATCTGACCATCACATGCAGCAGCTGCTGGCGAGTCAGTCTTTCTAGTCCTCGGAGAACCGATGCCGAGGTCGCGTAGGAGGAAGGGGGAGGGCAGCTGAACCGAGACTCCACCGGCATGCACTGGAGGACGGTGACCTGCGCCTCCAGGAACTTGACGTAGTTGCGTGCCTCCTCCAGCATGGTGCTCGTGTTCATCTTCCTATCCCACGGCATCAGCTTCGCCAGCAACCTGATCCGCTCGCTGATGCCCTTGCGCCTGACGCGAGACCTCAAATTCGGGGGGATCAACTGCCGCGATGCCGGTTTCTCAGCCTGGAGAGCTCGCTGGTCATCGGAGCTCGAAGGCTGAGGGTGAGGAGGAGAGAACAAAGGATGAGGCGAAGGGAAGGAAACAGCGGTAGACGATGGCGTCGCCGCCGGGATCGAGCGGAACCGTTTGTGAGAGGGCTCGACGACGACGGAGCCGAGCTCTACACCCCAAGCACTCGATCCCGAATGCGTCTTTTCCCTCGGATCGAGACCTGGCTCGAGAGACTGCAGCGCCGGTAGGCGGTGGGATCCTGGCGACAGGCACTTCAACGTCCCGCAGTCCACCTCAAATGGGAGCCTCTTTGCAGCGGCAGTGAGATCCGCATCGGTCGACTGCTTCTCCACCTTAGGCACCTTCAGCATCATCCTCTCGGTTTGCTCCGTCCCCCCACTCCCCTCCTCCCAATCCTGGTGGTCCCGTCCGGTGCAGATCGTCGTCGTCCTCGCAGCGTCGAGCGGGACCATCCCCTCCGCCATACGGGCGAGGAATGCGGGGGAGACGAAGATCCCATCCGGCAGCAGAGTAGTCTCCATGGAAAAACCACCTGAAAGAGACAAAACCCAAAAGACCGGAGGAAGACGAAGAGGGCGACTGGTAGTGGACGGGGGTCGAAGGCCAGCCGAGCTTTATAACCCCCCAGGTACACGTGGAGACCTACCATTCGGCCCCGCATAACAGCCATCTGAGGCGGCGGCCGCACGATCCCTCCCCCGCTGCTCATGATTGCTGGGCTAAACGCACGGAGCAGACAGGCCGTCCCTCCCTCTGCCCTCGCTGCTTCTGCCGGTTAGAGGGTTTCCGCTGAACCGCGAGCGGAGTCCAGTTAACGTAGACTGGCATCTAGAACCGTTGGTTACGACTTGTGATGGTGAGGGACAACATCAAGCGGCCATAAAGATGCTCACGTGATGCCGACGGCTAATGCGGCTGGCCGCTCAGGCCCCGACAAAGCCTGGCGAGGGGGATTCGCTCATACGTGGGCGTATATTTTCGGAAATACCCCCACATCACCTCGTCCCGGTTGCACGGGGGTGGTACTTTACTAATAAAAAATAATATTACTGTTTAACGTAAAAGCCGAGCATCCGACGTGTCAGACCAGATCATGATCTACCCGGACCACGTCAGCATCAAAAGAGACAAAGAAAATACTCCTATGGAAAAACCGGTATGCCCGGTGTCATTTTCTCTTTATTGGTCGGAAATATCGAATTTTCCAAAATACATTTTTTTTCACATATTCCCTCCGTACTCACATTTATTACGAAAGATTGCATTTTTTTTCATAAATAATAGACGAAGGGACATATTGATAAATAACCCCTCTCGCTCAAGCACTAGTAACAAATTTATGAATAGCCCCTAACTTTGGCAAGATAAGCGTTAAAACCCCATCCTGAAAAATTTATGACGACGGCGGGAGAGAGAAAATGAGAGACCTCTCGTGGTAATAAGAATCTTGGGGAATAATTAAATAATAACTAATGAGGAAGGGAGAAAAAGCTTGCGAATGAGAGCGTCAGCGGGAGAGAGAGAGAAGGGGTTTCATCGGGACGGGAGGCTAAAAGTCAATAGGTGGCGGCAACAGAGCAGACGGTGAGGAGGAATGGTGGTGAGGGGACGGACGGCGAGGAGATAGGACGACGGGGCGGACAGCAAGGAGACGGGACAATGGTGATGGGGTGGCTGGTGAGAAGGAGAGTGGTGGCGACGGGGTGGACGGCAAGGAGGTGGAATGGCGACGACGGGGCGGATGAGGAGGAAGAGGAACGGCAGCATCAGGGTGAATGGTGGCTACGGGGCAGAAGAGGAGGTGGAATGGTGGCGACATGACAAAAAGGCAAGGACGACGTGAAGAGGAAGAGATGGAGGTTCTCCTAATCCAAGAGGGCGATAAGAAGAGAGGAAGCCCCTAGTCCAAGAGGCAATGAAAGGAGGGGAGGAACCCGCAGTCCGAGGGGCGAGATGGGGGAAGGGACGACATTCTAATCCAAGAAGGTAAGATAAACTTCTTGATTAATTCTGTAAAATCACTGTGTCAAATACAACACGAGTCTTAGCATTTATAGAGAGGAAAGGGAGAGCGGTGGTTTTCCACGGAATAGAGGGAGAACGAGAAGAAAGGGGTGAAGGAGACACCCTCTCCCAAGAGATGCCATGTGGCACCTCTTGGTTGAAACGACATCCTATTTAAGGAGAGGAGGGACGTGAGGATGACATAGCATCTTCTCTCAATTCTTCTTCTTCGTCTTGTTGGGCTATCCTTTGTAGATGGATCCTCTTCCTTGCTGATAGAGACCGACTGGTCGTAGATCCAATATTCCATGTTGGATCCAATAGAGGAGGAAGGTACCAATTGACTTGGAGTTGAACTCTTCCATGTTGGATCCAATATTCCATGTTGGAACCTTGATTCTTGCAACTTTTTCTTGAAAGGATTGACCTCAAAGGTTGAGCCTCTAGTTGACCATCTTTCACTGACTTGAGTTGACTTTCTTATGTTAAAGATTCTTCATTAGATCTAGTGATTCCATCATGATCCAGTTAGTGTTGGATTATTAATTAAATAATATTTAGATGATTATACACATATAAGTAAATAAATAAATCAATTTATAAAAATTACTCATTATACATGAAGTATAGTCGAATATTTGTTTTATGCATGAACATGAATTTACTTGAATATAGACTCACCAAGAGTGTAAAGTACTAATACTAAATATATAAATAGGAATCTAAGTGATGTTTTTGAATCTCATAATATTAGGCTTAAGAATTTGGTAAATTTTACTACTTATGTTTATTCATTTATATGTGAGTATGAAAAATGGTTAATGTTTACATATACTACCACTTATGGAAAGTAATTACTTTTACATCACAATTATAAAAATGATTAAAAAATCTGTCTATTAGATGGTCATAATGTAAAATATTTACTTTTGATCATTTTTGGTATCAAATTAATTGATTGAATTCAAAAAGGTTGATTTGGTTGCTCAAGATTTCCATAATATTAATAAGTATTAGTTTAAAAATGAATTAAAAATATCTAATGCTATCCAAGTTATAGTTGTGCCAATTGAAACCATAACTCAAATTTCTATTTTAAAATTGTGATTATTTTGAGGTAATTAGAATAAATTTTAAATGAGAAATCACAACTTTATGATAAGATGTAATACCAATTTATTTTAATGATAAAAAATCCTATTATAGTTTGAAATGACAGGTTTCTAATAGAGACATTAATGCCTAATTATTGCACATCTTTATTCATCTTAAAAGATATATGAATCTTTAGAAGATATCTTATATTTTGTTTCTGACTATTTAAATTTTTAACTAGGTTTAAAGTAGAAGAGGCTTCTGAATTTGGTTATCTATAAATTCAGCCTCTTCCTAATTGTCAATTAGTCTTGCATCACCACTAACTCCCTCTAACATCTTAAGATTCTTGTTCACATTTTCTGTAGAGAAATACATGGAATTTTGAGTGGTCTTGATATCTTAGTACTATTCATGTCAAATGTAGTCCAAAAAACATACTTGTATTAAATTTAAGATAACAATGTAACTAAAAGAAAGATAACTAAATTCAAAATAGAGTATTAATTTTAAAGAGTGAAAAAAAATAAAACAGAGAAAAATAACAAGTGATTTTTTTCATTTTTGTCCCTCTCTCTCTCTCTCTCATTGCTCCCTTTTTCCTAATGATCTCCTTCTATACTCCCCTCAGTCATGATGATCTTTCAATACTCCCATTGACTTATGGAGCTTCTTTTCCACAAGATTTATACTTTCTCTCCCCTTTATTGTCATAATCAAGATTCACGCTCTAAGTTGCTTTGAGAATGATGCTCTAGGAATGTAGTTTTTTTCAGACTTATAGTATATATATATATATCTATGTAGATTCAATGATGGATAAATCATTAGAAGAAGAAATTATAAATTATGAGTAGATAAAATGTGTCAAAGTAAATCACTATATTTGAAGATCAAATTAGTAGTATTGAGGGAGATGAGTGATTAATAAATCACGAAAATTTAAAATTTATAAAACTTAAAACTACTAATTTTTAGATATTTAGAAGTACTGAACAAATAAATTAATTATAATTAAATAAAAAATTCAAAAATAGTAGAATTTTTCTTAGTCGATCACAAGAATGTAATATAATATTAGATAATATTTCATAATTTTTCTCAATAAATAATTTTTTTTATGATTTTTATACTAAGAAATAAAAATAAAATATATTTAAAACTCACAGAAAAGAAATAAGGATGTGGATATTAGGATGACATTAGTGCCTGATGAATGTGAATCAAGCAAAAAAAAGTTTCATTCGATAATTTTTATGTAAGCAATTACAAATAATTTAATTGATCAAATTAAGAACTGTAAAAGTTAGAAGAATCATAATTAAATGAAGAATAATAGAGAAAATTAAGTTGAAAGTAACAAAACAGAGTTCCAATGTGACAACGGTGATAGGTCAGTAATGTATCAAAATCTTGAACATTCAAGTAGATTATTATGTAGTGTCCACGACTTTGAAGGCTCTCATTGGATAAAGACGATGACGACTTATTTGTCAATCAATCGAATGTGATTTACTAAATGGATTCACGATCCTTTTATTGTAAATCATTCATCAATTTTAGTAACAATACCATGCGAATCATGTTGAAAAGATTTTTACTAATAATTAAGTAATTTTAGTAGCTTAATCTTTCACCAACGATATGTAAGAAAATCACAATTTAATTAGATAAAAATGTAAGTTTTAGCTCTAGTAAGATTCAAACTCTTTTCAGTTGTCTGCTAACATGAGAGAGAATGAAATAAGTACTCGAATACTTTTATACAGTGATGTCATCATGATGTAAAGAGTAGTTTAGGTATTTAAGATTATAAAATTATTTCAAGGAAGGTGTGACCTAAATTTAGTTTCACATTGGTTATACACCAAATTTTGAGATGAGTGTATAGTAATACGAGATTTGGAAATCAACAAGTCCCTTTCTCATATGTGTATGACCACTCCTTGCCCCACGCCTAGTTGGCCACCAGTGACATGGGGGGGAGTGACGCACAAGTTTCTCCATCGATTTATAGCCACTTGAGCCCCTACTCACAAGTCTACCTCGACTACACTTCTGTTCTATTTGTGGACTTGGCTGGTCAACTGGCCCCCTCTTTTTCTATCTTTTTTTTTCTTCATTTGTCTCGAAAATAAGATTAAAAAAATTATAAAAATTCACATAAAATCACATAATTAACTAAAAATTCACATTAACCAAATATAAGTCTATTTATCATGAGTTAAGACTAATTTTTTTTTTTTATTAATTATTAACTCATGATGATGAAGACTTATCACACCTTTCAACTTGAATCATTGCTAGTCCTTTAGTAATAGAACTACGAAAATAAAAAAAATCATAAATCTTAAATATTATATTTTAATATATAAAAATATAATTAGAAATAATACATTGCTAGACACTTTGAGCTCTTATATCAAGTATCTAAGAATGATGACAAACACTTAAATGTGTAAGCACTCTTTGGAATAACAATTTAGACTTCACTTCTTCTATTCACATCTTTATCAATTTTTTACTCATAGATATAATTCACAAGATGTTCTAGTTATCAATATTTATATAAGAATAATATTGATTCTATATTTCTTTTTTTATGGCTTAATTTTTAAAGTTTGTACTATATTTTTCCTATTTTTTATACACTAGGTAAGTAGCTTTTTCTATAAATAAAATTTGACAACAAGAATGATTCTCACACCCTCTATGTGTACTCTTTGTTTTTAGGGCTTTCACATTATCCATTTATTTTGCAACAAGTATTTTTCTATAGATAATTTTTTATAAGAAGAATGATGTCTCACACCCTCTATGTGTACTCTTCATTTTTAAAATTTTCATCTTACTCTTTTTTTTTTCAAAATAAGTGATTTCTCCTCACAAGTCTTAGAGATCAGGGTATAAAAATCATCATTAGACTCAAATATTGAATTAAATTTTCACATCAAGTAAATACTATTCATCAAGTCATGAAGTGAAAATTTATAAAATTATATCAATATTATCCATCATGTATTCAAAGAGTATTTTAACATTTTATTATACTAAATCATTCTCTTAACTCAATAATAATCTTCTTAATATCTTTTAGTATCAATCAATCTAATTGATTTAATTTTTTGTGCATGCAATATGATGTAGAAATTTATAAATTAGATAGTTTTAACAATTCTACTTTCTATTTTCAATTTTTTTCAGCAAAAATGAATTTATAAAAAAGAAATCAAAACTATTTTTTTTATAGTTGTAATTTCAAATTTCAGTAATATATATCTAGGGGATTAAAATGTGAGAAAAGGGTCTCTAGAATTTCAAATTTGGGGCTGTTTTTTCTGTTATTTTTGATAGTTTGTAAATTATTTTCTACTATTCCTCACAGAAAATTAGAAAATAGATGTTGTAGTTTTTCTGATTTTTTTAGTTGCTTTTTTAAGTAAGCATGAAAACAAATGTAAACATATGTTCTTAATCATCCTACAGTATAAATTAATATTTAGTACTTCACCCCCCAACTTAAAAATGACATTATCCTTAATGACAAAAAAATTAGAATAGAATATGCATAAAATATAATATTCAAGTAAAGTATACATATATGCAAAGTTAAGCACTAAAAATATTGTCATAAAGGATAAAGCTC